CGCTGCCAGGACAGCAATTGACTTCGAGTAGGTTTCTTTTGCTACAGCAACCCAAGAATTTAATTTTTGGCAGTGGAAGAAATTCAAACGATTCTCAATGAGAGTTATGCAAAGTTCATAAATGCTGGACAACGGATTACGGTAGCGAAGAAAGCGGTAAGAATCTAAGAATTCTAAGAATCCTAAGAATCTAAAATTTTCAGCTCGTCAGCTGGAACTGTACATTTTGCTCGGATTGTACCAAAAACATCACGCTGAGCAATGAAATGGACACATTTCTACATATTGTGAAAGTCAATCATCAGAAGAAGGTGATTATTTCCAAAATTCAAAATTTCGGAAATTCAAAAAATCAAAAATTCTTAAATTCAAAAATTAAGAGATTCAAAAATTAAGAAATTCAAAAATTTAGAAATTCAAAAATTCAGAAATTCAGAATTTCAGAATTTCAGAAATTCAGAAAATTCAGAATTTCAGAAATTCAGAAAATTCAGAAATTCAGAAATTCAGAAATTCAGATATTCAGAAATTCAGAAATTCAGAAATTTAGAAATTCAGAAATTCAGAAATTCAGAAATTAAGAAATTCAGAAATTTAGAAATTCAGAAATTCAGATATTCAAAAATTCAGAAATTTAGAAACTCAGAAGTTCAGAAGCTCAGAAGCTCAGAAGTTCAGAACTTCACCAAACGTTGTTTCAGATGAATGGTCAAGCTACACGGTCGGATTTACTGTATTGGAAGGAATGGGTCGATAGATGGGATGCCGAAACTACAGTAACCGCGCAATGTTTGATCGAGCCTACAGAAGTCCCACAAAATGTTCATGAAGCGAATGGATACATTAGAAGTGTGAATTATCTGTCTACAGTAAGAACTGGTAGTTTTTGAGAAAATATTTTTTTTTCAATAAATTGAAACAAAGTTGACGGGTCCAGCGTCACCACCACGACCGCGTAGCTCAGCGGGTAGCTTTTCACCGGCCAGTTTTGAAAGTTCAAAAAACATGGAAAATTTTAAAATTATGGATTTCACATTATCAGTTTTTTTGTTGAAATTTTCCAACAACGCTTTGTTTAAAATTTTAAAACGATACTTCCAAAA